TCTTTAAATCCAACACTGGTTTGTATTACTCCTTCCTTTTGGTCACATGGTAAAACTGACGAAAAATCTGCGCGATACGTGACCACAAATGTGACCGACTCATTACACCCTCGCTAACGCCATACTGGTGCGTACGATATAATCGCGCATGCTGTATCCCTGGGAAACGAGAAAACGTTTGCTCACTAGCAAATCTCGTCTGGGTAATCAGACCAATTACGTCGAAATGTTGGCATACGGTTCCTAGAAAATGTATATATACATGTTTATATACATGTATGTTGACTATGCTCGAAGAATATCGCCTTCTTTTTTATTTTTTTAACTTCATGATAAATAGTAAACACGGTCACCAGTTAAAATAAGAATAATAATCCTTAGAAAGCTTGAAAATACAACCGAGTTACATAGTTAATATTGCTTTCAAACTTTCATGAACATCTAGAAAATATCTCGTATTTTTTTTTAGAGTAACATCAATTATTAAAGATACCGCCTACTCTTATTATTCGCTTTTACTAGTAATTTTATGATCATTTACGACTCGCTTCTGTCAAAGTTCTACTTTCTTCGTATTTGTTCCGCTCCATAGAATTAAAAAAATACTCTTTAAGATACTTTTTATTTGTTATAATACATTGTAAATCAGATAAAAATTTGATTTTATCGATCAAGGTCATTTAAAGTTAAAAGATCATATCATTATCGTCGCATTGAATGTCGAAGCAAAGTTAAAATCAAATCATTTTTATTTACAAAGTAAAATTCCTTAAAAATCTATATTATTCGCGAATAATTTGGGAATACTCTCAAAACGGATACATGTAAGAAAATCGATAATATTTAACTACCAGCATGTAAATTAAGTAATAGAGTTTTCTGTGGGCTCCTTTTAGTCTTTTACCAAGTGTTGAATTCGGCTTCGAACATATTCCGCGATACTACTACGTTCTTCTATTAATCTTCTGTCATTCATCTCCGCCGTTAGACAAAGCGGTGCTATTACAATGCCGAGCAGAATTTCAAAGTGTTCGTTGGACGGGAAAGCTGGATTCGTATCGATCTTGTTGTACTCAGATATTAATAAACGTAACAATTTAAATTGCATTTTGTTTGTCCAGTTGCAATAAATTTTTTTTCTTTTTTTTTTTAATTGTTTTCTTTCTATTCTTCTCTTTTCTTTTTCATTTGTAAAATTATTCCTCGAAAAAATACGGGGAAAATATGTTCAGGAAAAGAAAGAAAAAAAAAGGAAAGAAAAAATGGATCGCGTGGTGAGAGAAGGATTATAACAATCGCGAATAATTTATAAATCTCCTTGGACAAATCAAGGCGGTTAGTATAAATTTATAAGGAGAAGCGGGAAAAGGAAAATAGAAAAGAAAGGGAAACTACGATTAAACCGTGTGCCAACGCTTTGCGTTAATTAGTCCGGATTTCTCTTGGTCCTCGAATAATACCTTTGTCTTTCTATATCCTCGATAAAGTGGTCCGTGGTGCTGGTTACGTGTTGTACGTACGTCTACAAGAGTGAGAGTGAGAGAGAGAGAGAGTGAGAGAGAGAGAGAGAGAGAGAGAAAATCTCCTTTATCCTCCTTTTCTTTTTTATTATTTCAAACAGTTTCTCACCAGGATTCCAAGCTAATTCTCTCTCGATCTCTTTATCTTTTCATTCGAAACATATGGAAAACGAAAAAAGTCCGAAAGATAAAAGAAAAAACAGTTAAAAGGCTGTCAAACGGTAAGCCGAAGAAAAATAAATAAAAAATTAGTGTCATTTCTTATTCCTTATTCCTATTTCCTTCATCGCTCTCACGTCCGTTCGTGGTCCCTCGAATTTGTCAAGGGTCAAGAAGAACATATGTGGGTAGAGCTTACGCAGAGTTTTTACAGATATATCTATTACCAACACATAGATGAAAGAAAAAGCACATAAGAGAGGTGATTTTTGAACAAACATCTTTTACTTCAAAAATTTATTTTTCCTTTTGGTACGAGAAAATTTCTTTTCTTTCTTTTCTTTTCTTCTTTTATTATTTTTTTTTACCTATTTATAACCGATCTTCGTGACCTTACTAACTATAGATCTGAAACGAATCGGGTGATTGGAATGACGCTCATTTGAAACCGGTTTTGGAACGGTTCATCCCTATTTTCCGAAAAAAGACGAACAACTACGAGACTATAAAGAAATCGGTTTGACAATTTTTTACTTACCTTTGGGTATGTCGTCAAACGAAAAAAAAAAAAATAAAAATAAAAGGAGAACAAATAAAGAAGGAGAAATCAAGGTTTTTCAGAAGAAACGTTAATTACTCACTGAATTTATAGTAAATAATGTTAATTACTTACTGATCTAGACACAACATCATACAGAAACATAAGACACTTGTAATTACTTCAAAATGAGATAAAGTGACATATAATTGATGTAACAGTTAATTGTAAACGCATAACATTGTCGACATCAACGACGTAATCGTCATCGAAGTAGAAGCAATGAGTGAGAGCAACGTCGATTGTGGCTTTCGAGTTTAATGGCCAAATCGTATTCGGCACGTTAACGCGATTAGTTCGCTCCATTAGCGCGTCAACGCTTAAAACGTTGCACCAGCGTACGCGATTCTCGACGATAGAAAGTTGTTCACGATGCCAGAAATTGCTTCAAAATCGTGCTAGAGTGTGCGATATTGAAAACGAGTGATGATTCGAATGGACGATTGTCAAACGAGACAATAATCGACGTTATATTCTAAAAATCATGTTAAAAATAATATTAGAATACAATTTTCCTTTTTCCTCTCTTTCTTTTTGTTATTCTTCATGCTTTTATTTATTTCTTTTAAGTAAACGAGTAAAAAATATTTTCTAATCCATAGCGCCCATCGAATGATAGTTCCCGAAGAAATAGAATAACTTTCACCTCGCTTCTAAAGTGCGATTAGATCAAATTCACGTACACTCTACGAACTATTCCACTGGATCTTCTACCTCTCGATTCGAACGGGTTTTATGTTTACGTATACTACATGTATCTATATACGTACAGATATATATATATATATATATATATATATATATATATATATATATATATAGATATCTATATATAAATATAGATATAAATATAATATAGATATAGATATCTTTTTTTTCTATCGAATTATGTAACTTTTATTACGAAAACCAAATTTAAAATCAAATTTGTATAAATTATTTTAACAAACGCATCGATTATCGTAATAGCTGGAAGGAAAATTTCAATATTTTTTATTTGGCTCTAAAATCGATTATCTTGAAAAGATATGCGTGAGAGAGAAAAATAAAAAGAGAGAAAGAGAGAGACAGAAAGAGAAAGAGAAAGAGATAGAAGTACACTCAAGCGACTCAGATAAACACGCGATCGTTCGCACGCAACGCAAGAACTCGTCTCGAACTGGTTCGTTTCATCGAACTCTTATACCGGACGTTTGTCCGACCGAATTTCATCTTCGAAGAATTTTTTGTCGATTATGAAATAAAAAATATATATCTATCATTAAGATTCGTTCTTGACAACTTTTATTTCGATAAGAGTACGAACATTTAATTGCTATTGTCTATCATAAAATGTATTATTTCTTTTCTATTTTTAACTGCAATTATTGATGGGTATTATATACTTTTCAACTCGATCTTTGCAAAAGTACACATAAAGATTACGTTAATACCTCCTTCGATTTTGATTCAATGCAATAATTGATTCGTTTGTAAGATTTAAATACAATCGGAACAATATAATCCCCGTTGACTGCATTAAAAACTGTTGAATGAAAATGAAAAATAAAAGAAAAAGAAACAATTGATTAAATGAAATAAATAGTTTGGTAGAATTGTATGAAACATTATATATAATATCTCGTTAATATTTTGAAACATAATCCAATCATTATGAACAAAATTTCCAATACTTGAGAAAACCGATAACCTTTTATCGTAACAACATTACAAAAGAATTCGCTTGTTATACGGCTCGATTTTTCACGACTAATTATACCAGTACTGTGATCGGTTAATTAATAGGCAAGTTACTTCGCTTCGACTCTAACTATTCGCTTGAGAATAATACAATTGCTCGTAAATGTGAAGTCGGTATAATCTACAATATAGGAAAGAGAAAACCGGAGAGAGGGGGGAGAGAGAGACAGAGAGGGAGAAACTCGACAGTGAACTCAAAGAGATCGGCAGAGTTTAGAAATTTATTAGAAACAAAAGACATTTTGTCTTGTGACTTCCATCGCTTGGAGAATAACGCAAACCAATTATGAAACTGGAAGCAAGCATCTAATTAATATTTTCGCATCAAAATAATAAGCTGTCGTACGAGATAATGACACTACGGTCTTCGAAAAGTAAATTTGAGTTAACTAGATCCACGTAATTACGAAAAGTAACTTTATTGGAGATCATCGAATAATAATGACATAGAATAAATCGCAAGATTAAAATAGAATAAAATATAATAGACATGATTTTGATCGATCGAGAATCGAAATGAATCAAGAATGTAAATGCACGTGTCACGTACATCGACAAATTCCCATGCATCTTATGAAAACGTGAGAAGGGGATGGTTCATGGATCGCTGTAAAATTCTGAACATTTCGAAAAATATCTAAAAAAAAACATAAGAAAAAACAATCACAAAGTGACATTCGTTTTTGGAGGAATGACACGCATAGAGAAAGCAAGGTAGCGTCTCTTTAATAATCGATACACCCTCGAAATTTAAGGATCTGAAAGAAAACCATCGAAGAAGAAAAAAAATAAAAGAAAAAAGAAAAAAATGATACGAAAGAACAATGAAGAAAGGCACATAGAATATTATGTTTGTAAAATATTTGAATAAATAAATTCGTAACTATAAGGTCAACGAAATTCAAGGTTATTGGTATTGAAATAATTACTTTTACGTGAAGATCGTTAGATATTTTTATCAATGAGAATATTTATATCCTTACCTTGGTATCTCTGGATGTGTGATAATAGTAAACAAAGACGAACATCCAGGCGCATGACAGAAGGAGCACTATTTTCACGTTTCGCCGCATGTTCAAGGGTGGTCGTGTCTATCTCTATCTCTATCTGTCTGTCTGTCTGTCTCTCTTTCTCTCTCTCTTTCTTTCTCTCGCGCGCGCGAATAACCTTAATCTTTCTCTCTCGTAACTTTATTAGAGACTTTTCTCTCTCTTTCTTTCCTTTATTTCTCTCACAAAATATAAACTCACGAAAACACGCACACTCGCGGCCGAGAATGCGGCGTGACACCACGAAGAAACACTAAGAACGTGAACCCGCCGGCAGCCGAAGCCATACTGCCGTGTATTGCCGGCGCGCTTCACTGACGCCTCGCCTCATCGCGCCGAGTCGGGAGCTTTCGTCGTTTGTCACTACGCTCCGCCATCATCGTTTGTAACGCCTCCTACCGACATTCCTTAGCGATATCGATTCAGCGCGCCAACTTTAAACGTACGAATTTTTCCTCTGCTACTCATTTTTTTCATTTCTTTCCTTTATTCTCTTTCCAAAAACTCCGTTTCCTTTTATCTTTCTTCTTTTCTTTTCTTTTATTTTATTTTATTTTATTCTCTTTTTTTTTATTACTTTTCTCAACAAAAATTTTTCTATTATCGTCAATGATAATAAAAAATCTTCAAAATTCATATAAAGATAATTCTAATCTCTCATTAAATTTCTATTTCGATATCTCTTTTGGTTTATGTACGAATTAATGCTTTCTAATAAGTGTAATTCGATATTGGGAGTAATACGATAAATATCTTCGAAAAAACGCCCACTCGATTGGAATGAAAAAGATAGTAGTAGTCGGTTTGAATACCGTGCTTCTCTCGCACAGTCTATCAAAAACGATATTAAACGAAGGATCCTCGAAAAGCGGAGAAACGAAATGTTCTTGTGAATATTTGTCACTTTCGTTTATTCAACGAAATGGCTTCAACGAATATTTGGTTCACCTTATTGCTTTATTTTGGATTGGCCTTTGCGTGGATGGACGAAAGGTAAATTTTTCTTTAAAACTTTTAATCAGAAAAATCGTATTTTATTGTATGATTCTGTTTTTCTTAGGCCAGTTCTCGAGGCACAAGATGGTAATTTAATTATATCCAGCGCAAAGGATAGAAATATCACTCTTAAAGTATTAGGGAACGGTTATATCAATGTTAATGAAATTAATTTACTTCACGTCGCCTTGGCTGTAAGCTTACACATTTTCTTGTAAAGCACGGGCAGATGTGAGATTTCAGATTAAAGATACCCTTTTCTTCAGGCTCAAAATGCAACACGTCTGATGGAAAGATTGAAAGCTGGGTATCTCGTTCAAGTGGATAATAATCTCGCAAGGCTAATCAATCTCGTTGAAGGTCCTACAGGTTTACAAAGGAGGATTGCTATGTTGGAAGGAACGGGAGGAAATAGCTCGCGTTTGCCGATTAGACGATTGGTAACACGATAGATCTTCATAGCGAAGTTAATTATAAAACGATTTTCTCGACAAATTATTTTATATAAATTGTTTACAGCCTTATTCGACTGACAATTTAACGAGAAATAGTATACGTCGTACTAATGAAAGAGTAAGTATCAAATTTCACTGATAAACGAGAGAATATTTTCATCCGATAGTGATAATTAAAAAGCAAACAAATTTTTTTTTACAATTTGTTAAAAATCAAAGATACGAAGATTGGAAGAGACAGTGAGAGAGATCGAAAATAAGCTGAAAGAAAACGCTTGTCAAAGTAATCCTTGCGGAAATGGCGGCACTTGTCAAGATCTTTACGAAGGATATCAATGTCTATGCCCTTCTAGTTGGGAGGTAAAACGAATAATAAATAGGTCTTATGATCTTTTAATATAATTTTTATATCATAATTATAAAATTTTGTTCAGGGACCTAATTGCATGACGGACGTAAACGAATGTGCTAGATATCTTGGCACGGATCTCGGATGTCAAAACGGAGCAACCTGTTTCAATTTGCCTGGATCTTATAGGTATGTAACATCGATTTATTCTCCTACCGCTCAATTTTAAAAATACATCGGTGTTTAGATGCGATTGCCAAACTGGCTGGTTCGGACTACATTGCACAAAAAAGGACTCCATCTGCAACAGGGAAAACTCTCAAGAACTTTGTGGACACGGTATATGTATCCCTAAACCTGGAGTTGTCACTGGTTACATCTGTCTCTGCGATCAAGTATGTTGAAAAGTTATAAAAAAATTTTACTTATATCTATATTTTTATAAAACTCAATTTGTCTTGAGGGATGGGAAACCGATGGCAGGAATCCAGCTTGTACAAGAGACGTAGACGAATGTGCGGCGAAACATCCACCGTGTTCCGTAAACCCTCCAGTCACCTGTTTCAATGCACCCGGTACATTTTTCTGCGGTGCCTGTCCTCGAGGTTATACCGGAAATGGTTATTACTGTACTGACATCGACGAATGTTTGGAGGATAATGGTGGATGTAGTACCTCGCCTCGAGTACAATGTATTAACACAATGGTAAAGATCGATTTATATAATCAAAATATTTCTCGAATTATTATTTCAATCGAATTAACATGACTTAACGGATTCCTCGTTAGTTTCACAATATTCTACAAGTTAATTCGGGAAAGCTAACGAAGCGAAATCTTTTTGTAAGAGAAATCCTTCGAAATCCCTTTTAAACCGAGAGCTTAAGAAAAAGAATGTAAAGTCGATTATCGTTACGCAGGGATCAAGGGTCTGCGGTCCGTGTCCTTTAGGATATCATGGCGATGGAGTCTCCTGCATCTATGTTGGTCCTTGTAGGATTAATAACGGTGGTTGTCACCCGTTAGCAACCTGCATCGAAAATCCTGCACTTACCAGCTCTTACGTGCAGTGTCGTTGTCCAGCAGGATACCAAGGTGATGGAGTTGGTCCGAACGGTTGTCAGCCTGCAACTGAAATATCGAATAATTCATGCGTTAATCATCCTTGCGTTCACGGCACGTGCGTTTCTACTTATCATGGATTTCTCTGTAGATGCGATTCTGGATACACAGGTACCTATATATTTGTCCTTCATATGGAATTAAACTGTTTATCTTAACGCTTTGAACTTTACAATCATTTATTTGTTAAAGTTCGATGTCACAAATATCGTATATATCGTTTAAATAAATAATAAATGATCGGACGACATCACTAATAATTCATTATTATAACACAGGGACAACATGCAATACTCAAATCGATCCCTGCTCGCCTAATCCTTGCAAGAACAATGGAGTCTGCATTGTCACCAGTGGTGCAGTGACCTGCAATTGTTCTAGCTCTTATACAGGAAGCAGATGCGAGACGCAACGACAAACTTGCGGTGGTGTATCTCGAAATCCTATCGGCCACTTAGAGTTTCCTATTGGTGGGACCACTTACCAACATGGACTCAGTTGTGCTTGGGTTTTGGTGACCAATTATTCTCAAATCCTGAACGTTACCTTTACAAATTTTAACTTGGAGGATTCTACTGACTGTAAATTTGATTTCCTTCAGGTAATAAATACTATGATAGTTCCTCGCCAAATAGATAGGAAATAATATAGATAATTTATAAAGTTATTAACAGAGCTAATAACTTTATATTAATAAATATTATATATTTCTTCTAGATACACGATGGTAGAAATGCTGGTAGTCATATGATAGGCAGATTTTGTGGTAACACTTTACCCAATAAAAATGGAAACATTGTTTCATCTCACAACGCATTGTATTTTTGGTTTCACTCGGATAGTACCGTAGCACACGAAGGATTCGCTTTGCATTGGAATACGATCGACCCGATCTGTGGTGGAACTTTTGAAGAGGATTATGGTACAATAACGTCACCTGGTTATCCGGGAAGATATCCTCCTAACAGAGATTGCTATTGGCATATATCTGTAAAAGAGGGAAAAAGAGTACAATTACATTTCGGACAACTAATGCTCGAAGAACATACTACATGCGAATACGATTATGTCGAAGTTTGTATCTATTGATTTTTAGATGAGATCATCGATAAATAGCATGCTAATTTTCTTATTTTACAGATTACAACATACAATAATGAACTTCTAGGTCGTTATTGTAATCATAGTCGGCCCGGACCTGTCATTGCACTTGGAAACGAAGTTACACTTTACTTTCACTCAGATGGCTCAGGTCAAGATGCTGGTTTCCAAATTCATTATTCAACAGTAGAAGGTAACTGTTTCCAAAAGATACATATAACATATATTTTTAACATATGTATATGTGTGTATATATATATATATATATATATATATATATATATATATATATATATATATATATATATACATATATATATATATACCCCAATCCAGAAAAAATGTCTACATTTGGAAAATAAATCTTATATTCAGGTATACCTGGTTGCGGTGGTATTTTTACTTCGAATGTTGGCTCGATCCATTCTCCTGGTTCTTTGTCATCCTATCAAGCAAATATAAATTGCGAATGGAAAATACAATTACGACCTGGTGAGAAAATACAGATCACTTGGCAGAAATTCAGTCTTGAAGAATCTACCAGTTGTAATTTTGATGCGGTCGAGGTAATCATATGAATTTACTTATTTATATCAAAATAAAGCAAATCAGAATTACAAATAAGAGGATTTAAAATTTTGTTTAGATTTATGATGGAGATAGTACAAATTCTCCATTGATTGGTAGATATTGCGGCGATATCATACCGCCGACTCTTAAATCGAGTTCCAACAACATGGTAATAATATTCACGAGTGATTGGTCCTTCGAAACGGAAGGTTTTTCCTTATTTTACGAAGTCATATGCGGCAAAGAATTTACCGATGAAACTGGTGTCATTACCTCTCCCATGTATCCAAATTCTTATCATCCTATGAAAACTTGCATCTACGAAATTATCCTTCCACCAGGTAAAGCCATTATTCTCACTATCCTCGATTTGGATTTGGAAGGAATGGGCAGTGATTGTTATTTCGACTCTCTCGAAATTTTCGACGGCGATGACGAGAATGCCACTAATCTTGCCACTCTCTGTAGCTTCACATCATCCGAATCATTTTATTCGACGTACAATTACATGTACCTCAAATTTATGAGCGATAGTAGCATTCAAGGTCGAGGTTTTAAACTTAATTACACCTCTGTAGATCGAAGTAAGTAAAATCAAAAATCAAAAAATTATATACACATTTTTATTACTTCGATCGAAAATAATTTCAAAATCGTCACTTTTTTTCTGAAGGATGCGGAGGGTTGTATAAAAATCCTAACGGAATTATTGAATCACCT